TCTGCATATGCATATACAAATGGAAAAAAGCATATTTAAAGTATATATATATATTCCTAAGCATATTGGAGACCCAGATGGAGGGCTTCTCACTTAGATATATAGATATATATAATCATCTTTTTTTCTAGATATCTGCATATGCATATACAAATGGAAAAAAGCATATTTAATATATATATATATATTCCTAAGCCGGCCAGGCAGAGGTTTCTTGGTGAAGCGAGCAGGGCATCAGTTTGTGTTCCTGCCTGAAGCTCTTGGTCATGGACAGTCTGCCGAGTGAGCAGGGTTAGATTTTAAAGGGTCTCTTGTCGGTACCAAGTGGCTAACTGTGGTAGGTCCATCAGCACCCTTGTGTAGAGACACAGTACCCAGAGCCCGCGTGGTGGAGCAGTCACGTATGTTTCTCTGGATGCACCTCCTCCGTTTCCTCCACTAATGGACGGTGACATCGAGGGTTGCAGGTGAGAAGCCATGCAGTGGACAATGTGCCCTGCTTCGTGGCCCGCGGCAGGTGCCAGCTCCCTCTGTGCCGCAGTGCTCCCGTGCCTTCCCCGTTTTACAGATGAGAAACCGGACTGAGTTTCAACAAAGTTGAATAACTTCTTCGAGGTCACACAGTTCCTAAGGCCCAAGACTGGAAATCGGGGATTTTCTGATTATAAATTTCACACACACACTGTCATGGTTTGGGTTTTTGCAAGGCAAACAGTATAATCCAGGACACATTTTATATGATTATTTTATAATCACCGAAAGAATCACATACAAAGAGTGCAGGAAATCTGTCCACACACTGAAGACCAAAGAAGCCAGTGGAGGGCCTGGGCCCTAATCGCCCGCGTGAGTTCAGCTGAAGACCTGGAGCTCATAACAGCGCCTTCCACAAGTCCAGCCGGAGGCCCACGAGGCAAAGCCTCCTGCAAGTCCCCTTCATGGATCTGTGCTTTAAAGGCCCGAAGGTCAGTGTTAGAAGCTAGAAAGTCTACGCCAGCAGGATGAAAGATCTGTGCTAGTGAGGAATCTGCCCTGGAGCCAGGAAGCGCCGCTCCAGGTAAGCCCCAGAGCTCCCCCAGACGCACCTCAGCCAGCCTCAGCCAGCCTCAGCCAGCCTCAGCCAGCCTCAGCCAGCCTCAGCCAGCCTCAGCCGGTGAGGTCCTGAGCGCCTCTGAAAATGAGGGGAGTTGGATCCCCACCAGGAAAGCCAGTGTGACAAGCTTCTCCAGGAGACTGAGCTGTGCGCCATCTTCTCCTCTAGAGCCAGGAAGCGATGCTCAAAATGAGGACCGGAGCTCCCCCAGAGGGAACCACAGCCACGCAGTGACAATGCAGTCCCGAGCTCCTGCTTTGATAAGAATGACCATGTTCACGAGGAAAGCCAGCATGATGACCTCCTTCAGCAGAACAGCCCAAGAGAGCCCGCAGCTTCCAGCAGCTTCCCTATAGCCTCCCCCTTCTCTCCAGCTCTGCCTCCTATGCTGCCAGCAGCACCCTGCAGGTGGGCCTCCCACCCCAGCCCCACGTGGGTTCACTTCAGCTGGGGGTGACGAGTAGGCCACCCGTTAGCATCTACTGCACACACTTATTCACTATAGCATGCCACTATTTCCTGCTTGGATTAGACCAGAGACTTTTAAATTTCTTTTCTTAGGGCCAGTCAAATAGCTCAGTGGATTAAAACACTTGCAAGCAGGCGCAGAGGCCAGGAGTTCAGTCCCCAGGTCTGCCGTGCTGGCCCACGCTGAGATGGCAGTTGAGACTGGGCATGGTGGCGCGTGCCTGTAATTCCAGCTCTTGGGAGGCTCTAAACAGGCAGATCACTGTGAGTTTAATCTAGTAGTAAGAACCTGAACACCCTGTAGACCCTTCCCTAAACTACAAAAAAAAAATTTTTTTTCTTCTCTTTGTGTGTGTATGTGTGTTTTGCTGAAACACAATTGTGGTCATAATCTATAAATACATAATTGCATACATACTCGTGTGTATAAATATGAAACAAAAATTTGAGGAAATATTTGCCTTTCACATGCGTAGCCAACGTACTCTCATAGTTTCTTTTCAGTTTTGAAAACAGGAGCTGGGGTGGTGACTGCGTTAGCCCACCTGTGCTGCTGTAGCGAAGCACAATTCCTTAGGTTTTCTAAACAGCGAGCATTTATTTCTCGTAGTTCTGGGTGCTGGGATCCTGATTTCTCTCAGTTCTGAAGGTCAAGGTCAAGGTCAGTGTTCCAGCAGTTTGGTATGTGGCAAGGTTGAAAGATGACTCTTTTTGTTCTTTTTGCAGCACTGGGGATTAGACCTGGGGCCTCAACACTGAGCTGCATCCCGAGGCCCCTCCTCCTTTTTTCTTTTTTCTAGGTAAGGTTTCTCTAAATGGTTAAGTTGCCCAGGCTAGGTTAGAACTTGAGATTCTCCTGCCTCAGCCTCACAGATGGTTGGAATTACAAGTGTGCATGTGGTTTAAAGAGGGCACTTTTCCTCACACAGCAGAGCCACAGGGAAACCTCTGGCGTCTTTCTACAAAAGCGCTGAGTCCATTCGTGAGGCTCACTTTCTGCTCTCCTCATCTTGCGCTGAAAGACCCCACCTCTTAGTGTCATCACCACGGAGACCAGAGTATCGCTGTGTGAACTGGGCAGCGGGAACACAAGTACTCCACCTGCGGGGCAGGCCCCAAGACCGAGGTCAGGCCCAGGGTCGGTCTACAACTCACAACTTGAAGTACAAATTGAGCGTTCCTCCTGCAGGTTGCTCAGGACCAGAAGTGTCTGGAGGTTGAATTTTTGGGGATTTTTGTAAAATTTGCATATTCACAGTAAAATAGCTTCGAATCTAAGAGTAAATAAGAAATTACTGTTTCCTGTACACCACCTATGTACACAGCCTGAAGATGGCTTTACAGAAGACTTTCAGTGCCTCTGTGGTTTGACCGTGACCTATCACATGAGCTTGGGTGTAGAATTTTCCCTTTTGTGGCCCTCAAAAATTTCTGACTTTAGATCATTTTAGATTTCAAAGTTTTAGGTTAGGGCTGTTCAAGCTGTACTTACAATTTCTATAGGCTCTTTGGTTCTAATGTGCTCTGATTCTCTTGAGAAACGAAAGCACATTCCCCAAACAATCTGAACACAGTTCCTCTAGCCCAGAGGCGGTGCTCTTGACTTGAGGCCAGGCCCAGAATGTAAAGCCCCAGTCCAGAAATGGGCATCCGAGATGAACACACACTTCTCAGAGGATGAAATTATAGGAGCGAATAAATACATGAAAAAATGCTCCACATCACTAGCCATCCATGAAATGCAAATTAAAGCACAGAGATACCGTCTCACCCCAGAAAGAAAGGCTATCATAAAGAAATCAACCAACGACAAATGTTGGAGAGCCTGTGGGGAAAAAGGAACCCTTCTGAACTGCTGGTGGGAGTGTAGACTGGTGCAACCATTATGGAAATCAGTGTGGAGACTCCTTAGAAAACTAGGACTGGAAATCCCATTTAAACCAGCTATTCCCCTACTGGGAATTTTCCTAGAGAATCTGAAAACATCATATCATAGTGATATATGTGTGCCTATGTTTATAGCAGCACAATTTGTGACAGCCAAATCTTGGAACCAACCAAGATGCCCATCACCTGAGGAATGGATGAAAAAGATGTGGTATTTTTATACAGTGGAGTACTACTCAGCTATAAAGAATGGTAAATTCAAAGCCTTTATATTTAAGTGGATGCCACTTAAAGATATACTCATAAATGAAATAAACCAGACACACATGTGTAAATATCGTATAGTCTCCCTAGTATAAGAACTCAAAAGAAGAAATAAAAATAGATAGGTAACACAATTAAAAGGAAAGTAAGAATTTAAGGATTAAACAATGAAGAGATGGCAAGGAAAAAAGCTAGGAAACATGACAAGAGCAAAGCCATTCATGTAATAAAAAGTTAAGAGTTCAGCCCAGGGCAGTATGTGAAACCTCACAATGTGGGAACAAAATCTCACTTTAAGTTCCTCTAGGGACCTTGTGTTCTCTCTTGGATGATGTGTTTTAAGAGAAATTAACAACCTGGAGAAAGACAATAAGCAGGGAAGGGTCTGAAATTATTTAAGGAGCCAAGAATATGAATTCAATATAATTCAGAAGCTAAAGAATTCTTTTAACAGTTTTTAAAATTAAGTATATTGTGATCATTGGTTGCTAAATTAGTGGAATTATCTCTCAGGAATGAACAGGCCTGACCCGTCTAATGTGTTATCTCACCTAAAGGTGATTTCAGTTGAATTTTTAGACTTTTGGAGTCTAAAGCAAAAATCTTGCAAAGTGACCGTGATGGCCCTTCTCTCCTGTGAGGGCCGTGAAAGGCAGGCAGGAAGCAGCCTCACCCAGGGCTGGCGGAGGAGCTCTCCAGCTCGGCGTTTGTTGGCAGGGCCACTGCCTGACTTCAAAGGGACTGGAAGGGCGGCGCCCCGCCGTTGGCCTTGGAATGCAGACGCTTGGCCCTCGGGCAGGCTCGGCCCTGTGGGAAGTCCCGGTTCCTGCTCCTCTGACCTGGTAGGAAGCTCTTGCCCGGTGCTGACCCTCCTCCCAGCACTGTGAGTCCGGGAGGGAGACAGGCAGGCGTGCGCTGCTGTTCTAGACTGGAGGGGCTGTGTGAGGCGCGGGGAGACGCCTGGAGCTCCCTGGAAAGGTGGCTGCCTCGGCGTCCACCAAGGCTGGCATCTGCGCGGCTGCTGGGCCAGGCCCTTTGTTGGGGCGGGCAGCGGCAGCTCTGCCGGAGCTGATTTAATTCAGGACTAAATAGAGAGAAGAGTGAAGGGACACTCACAGGTTACTAAACTGGGAAGTCTGGGAACAAAAGAGGGCCACGGAAGTAAAGTGGACAAAGCAATGCTCTGTGAGGGTTGGAGTAAAGGGCTGCTGCTGCTGCTGCTCCAGTTTATTTTTGGTGGTGCATATTAATTTTAAAAAATCTTAGGTTTCAATGAGATATTTTCACACGTGCACAGAACGTATTTTGGCCATGTCCTTCCTCCGTGCCTCTCCCTGAACCACTGCCCTGTTCCCTCTCACCTATTTAATAATAGCAGAGGATGAGCATTTCCAGATTACAGCTACCTCCTGCTGTGAAGAGGTTAGAATCTCCAGATCTTGCTGGCCCACCACCTGTACTGAATGTTAAGTCCAGCAACTTGGTCACATTCGAGAATCGAGGAGGCTCTTCTAGGGATGCTGAACCCGATGTGGTCTGGGATGTCCTACTAACGCATTCCTAATCTCTTCACACCTCAGATTCTGAGTTTAACTTTCAGAATATAATGAATGCATTTATTTTTAGTGGTTCTTTCAGTAAACTTAAACAGGGTAATGAGTACTGTTTAGTAGCCGACCCAGTCCGGTCCACAGTGGCTATGCAACGACACTGTCACGATTATTATTGTGTGCAGTGTTGGTGAGCAAACCCGGGGTGTACGGCGCGTTGTTCTAGACGGGAGGGGGCTCTGTGGTGGGTGTAGGGCGTGCGTAGCAAGCACGCTGGCACTCAGGACACCAGCTTGCAGTAATAATGTTGGATGAAAGACAAACAGTCTGACCTAACTGCTCACTCTGCAGACACGGTGACCAAGGTGGAAGGAACCGCAGGAGGACTGGACCTGCCTAGCCGTGCGACTGGCCAGCGTTCATTTTTCCCCTGCACCATCCTGCCCCCTGCTGCTTGACTGGCCAAGACATGGTGTTTTAAAGGCAGCAGTTCTTCCAGATAGCTCTGCTTCTCTGCAGTTGATGTCCGCAAGGTCACACTTCGTTTTTAGTGAATTCTGCTACCCAAAAAAGATTCTCGACAGTGAGGGAAAAACCAAACAGATTCTATTCTTGTTCTTTCTAACGTTAAAACTGACACAAGACCCACATGGCTCAATAGCTAACAACCAGACTGTTAAATTTAAAAATGGGTGAAGGACTTGAACAGATGTTTCTTCAAAGAAGTGACAGGGATGGCCAGTGGTATCCCGAGAGGTGCGGAGCCTCAGTCATCAGAAAGGTGCAGAGCCACACTCAGGTGGCTATTTTAAAGAAACAAAAGATGACAAGTGTTAGAAAAGATATGGG